GGGACGACCCCAAAACTGATGCGCGCGTGACGAAAATTAAAAAAAGTTTGACAAAAAAAAAAGTTGTTTTCATTATGAAATCTACGTGGTCATGAGGGTTGAACAAATGGAACAGAATATGGTTTGGCGAATAATCTAATCTTCAAGTTCATTTCCTTACAATTTCGTCTTTTTTCGTTTGATTTTGGCATTCTACGACATTGGTATAGTTTTTACTTATTTTTTTGTAACTTACGGTATATTTTTGCTCATTTTGCAACTGTTTTGTACGATTTACAGTATGGTTGAAATTTTTTTTTTGGAAACGGCCGAAAATTCATGCGCGCGCAGATGTCATCCATATAATCAAATCAACATGGCCTAAACATAAAAACACACAACAGTCCCCATGCGTACCTCCATATCTTGACCAGGTTGTCGCAGCCTCCGGTGACGAATCTGCGAGTCTGCTGAGGCCGCTGTGAGGACGGCTGGTCCACCAGGGAGCCTGCCGCCACGGCTGGGCACCAGCTTACTGCGTTACAGCCAATCTGCAACAAGCACGGGGCTCCGGTCAGACCATATTTGGGTATGGGATGTACCATCAAAAAATTTATGGGTGGGGTTAGGATAAATTTTAAGTTAGAAGAAAATTTTGTAGTTCAAAACATTTCCGAGAACAGATGTGATATACATGTACATGTACTAGGAATCTAGTATGATGCGGATAACATACATGTTATTACAATGTTACTTGTGTAGACTTTGTAATTTCAATGCAATTCTACTTTGTACTTTTGAAGTTACATTATGTAGAATTTGTACTGGCAAACTCTATTAGTGTCTACAAACAAAATTTAATGTTACAAAACTGAGCATCCTGCTGCCAGATCAAGAAGAAACAAAAACAAAGTTTACTCACTGTGTGAGCGTTGTTGATTTTCTTGGTGTCCCACTGGCCATCAGCTGGAAAAGTAAGTTAGAGGAACAATGCTTTTACTTAGAAAATACATGTATGAAGAAAATTATTAGAACTTGAATCAAGTAACCTGTACGTTGATGAAAGTTAGACATCCAGGTAATAAGATACGCCAAAAAGCAGTTACTCAAGCAACTGGATATGATCTTGGAAACCTGTAACCTGTATCTTGTTACATTTTGTCTGATCCTGACCTCTTCCCTCATGACTGCAATTAAAGGTGGCCAGCTATACAATTTCAGTGTTTCATGAATAAACAACGGCTCAAAAAAACAAACAAACAAACCACCCTACCTGTGCTTGAGATGATGGACACAGCTCCGTCGGATGACCCACAGGCCAGCATCAGACCAAACTCATGGGGAGCCCAGCACACAGAGTTCACTGGGGGAACAGGGCAGGACAGTAACATTGAGTTCACAAAGAATAAAATCTATTTATTTATCATAATAGTAAATTGTCAAAGAAGAAGAAGAAGAAGGTCTCCCGTGCTCTTATAGTTATACCGAGTGTAGGGTGGTGCCCATCTCCATTTCGTAGCCCTTGGGCGACACACAATTGTGCAAGGTACTACAGCAGGAGGCTAGTCCGCTGGTAGTGTTGTGTGTGTTTGACCTTCCCACACTCTTTCTCATATGTGCTGAGTGCTAAGCAGAGAAAGAAGTATGTACCATTTTTAAAGTCTTTGGTATGAACTCACGACCTCCCAGTAACAAAGCGAGCACACTACCAATTGAGCTATTGCACCGGTTGTCAACAGGAGTCTAAATCCCTCCTACTATAAAATTGCAACATACCATGGTAACAGACGTTTAGTGCAGGTCATTGATCTTATTTGTTTGGAGAAGAAGAGGAAACAGAGCAAGAACAATATGTTTTCCTTCGGTAAACATAACAAGCAAAGAAACAAACCCTAACCTGAAGAGTCGTGATTGGCGTACTCGTACAGTCTGTCCCACTGCCCGTTGGTCTCCTTCCAGATAATGACCTTCCTATCGTACGAACATGATGCCAGGATGTTGCCGTACATCGGGTGTGCCCAGGCAAGCTGCCACACTGGACCCTCATGGCTGGGGGGAGGAAAAATCCAAACACCAAGATGAAAACTATCATGAAAGTTCATCTGTATATGTTTAGAGTTAAAACTTAAGATCCAACACAAAAAATTCTCTCACCTAGAGCTTTTGACCAGATACCTTTGACCCAGTGTTGACGTCACACTTCAAAGAAGCCACGTGACGTGACAAGCTTCACTGGGTCAGTCTACTGAGGAAGACCAGAGTGACTGGTCGAAAGCTCTAGGTGAGAGAACTTTATGTTGGACCAAAAGTTTTAACTCTAAACAAATATGAAAACTAGTCATCAAGGGTATGAATGATAATATGACTATAATGTTTACCTTTGCATATGGTCTGCTCTGTTAATTCTTACTCAAACACATGGGCTTCTATATTCTCTCCCTAAACATTACTCTAACCATGGGTGGCACGAATATTAGTTCTGACAGTATAGAACATGAATATATATCATTGATATAAATAGGAAAATGCAATGAGAAGAGAGCATCTGAGACGGCAGTACAGAGAGATTTTGTATGATTCTTTGCAAAATGATTTCTTCTATTCTACCATCTGCTTTGGTAAACTAAAAGTAAAAGCTAAGATGCTGCTGACCCTCTGAGTTCTGCGGCTAAGATCTGTCCTCCGTTCTTGATGTCGAAGATCTTGACAGTCTTGTCTGAAGAACACGTGGCCAGACGAACTCCATAGTAATCCATCTGGGCATCATGCTGGAAATAAACATATATATATTAACCCCCAAATATAATAACCAAATATGCTGTACACAGGATTTAGTAAGTATGTGTGGTACTAACTAACACTGTCTGGAAGTTGGTGATTCACTACAAATCACCCGGATGGAGGCCTGGCGAACCCCATCTCGTATTAGCCACAAAAGGCAGCAGAATCTTCAGGTTGTTGAAGGCAGCTGCCTCCAATCGAAAGAAGAAGAAAGAAGAAGTTTATACTACATAGTACTACTATGGGGTAACTTCTTCTTTCTTCTTGTACTACTACAATTCCAACTTCCCTGCATTTTTCTAATGATCTAATGACTGTTGACACTACAATTTTGAGTACGGCATGGTCATATATGGAAAAACTAATAAACTAATAAAGACTACAGAGCTAGATACTTACAATCATGTCTTCATGGCCTGTATCCACAGTGTTTAGTACAGACACCTGAGAGAGAGAAACAGAAGTAAAACAGCTGTATGTAACAACTAGTGAACGAATCTTCAGACTTTAAGTTTACAGTGTGTCTGGAAGTTGAATTTTGTTTTTCCGACATATGTGCAAAACAGTTAACAGTGCAACAGTACTAATTGAAAAATTACAACAAATTATGCATATGATTACGTACACAATAGCGTTACATCGTACTCTCAATGTTCAGCCTACCATTACCTATTTCGTTGACCTTTAAGTTAAAACCAAAAGTACCGTTTTCTACAAAATTATGACACGTCAAACCGTACAGCACAAGCTTCCTGATGACCATATCGCCCCCCTCCCCCATACCATATTTCAACCACATTTTCCCACCCTCAAATTGATCCAGAATACTTCTACCACTGTCTGAACGTAGTAGAAATGTATGAAATACACACTAAAAGTGAAATAACTGGAAAAGAAGTGAAAATTATCACCATTTTGTAGGAAATTTTGTCCCAAACGTCAGACAACCGGTAAACGCTCGCGTGGCACTTACAGCCTCGGTCTGGTGTGACCCCGCCTGACCTCTGACGTCATGCGTGGGAAAGTGAAAAAAGTTACTTCCGGGTTTGGATGTTGTGAACTTTTGGAGTTTTGAACCGAAGCTTCTCTGGTAAGTCTTCGGGATGATTTGATAAATATATAGCCTCTACCAGGCATTGCGGATCGCTGGAAAAAAAGTAGAGGTCCAATATCCGTGGGTTGCATATTGGATCCTCTTTGGCCGGCTAACTCCCCTGGTATACTATCCCTTTATACGTATATTATATTTCGGCCAATTTCTACTATAATTTTTTCAGCGATCCGCGGTGCCTGGTCGATGATAATAAATATATAACGGATGTCAAGTTCTATTTTGGAGACACTCTTATGGTATATGTAATAAATATAACATTTTGAAAGACCTGAGTCTATACTTTAATAAGTCAGTGCTTAGATCTGATCAGAGGACTAAATGCCCCGCCCCCTTTTATGATAATCCATATACATGTAGCTGGTTTATGATAGATGCCATGTTCCCACACCCCTAACCCTGTATAACCAAATGCCAGAACGTGAGGTTGCAGGGCATATATATAACAAAGAAAGAGAAAACTTGTTTAAATATAATATACGGTAATTACTGATTTTTTCACCGTACCTTTATGTTCACTGTTTTCACTGTCACTTCTATACCGTGACCTTATCATTACAGTTAACAAATAATTCCTGGACTTTCTTTTTCCTGCACCTGTCGCCACCGTGAATATATTGTTCTGTAAACATGTTCATTTTTCTCAGACTGTGAACTTTTGCTACTGTGAACATAAAGTGAATTACAGTATATATTTTTTTGTTTGTCTCCCAGGAAAGATCTGAAAGATGTATGACCCTGAGGCTGGTCTCCTGACCCTGGATCAGATCACCTGTGCGAGACAGGTGCTGCAGACCAGCGGTCTGTGTTACCACACCCCCGTACTGCACCATGTACAGACCCTGTGTGGGCTGGACACAGACATAGATCTGTACCTTAAGCTGGAGAACATGCAGAACACAGGTGCCTCATGGCTTCTCTTATATCTTCTCATACTTTCCAAACCCTAATCTGTTGCATTTTATAATTATGTTTACCTTGCTCTGTTTCTTCTTCCTCTTCTTCTTTCCCAAACAAATAAGGTCAATGTGACCTGAACCAGATGTCTGTCACCATGGTAACTGGTGTTGGGTTACATCATGTTGCAATTTTATAGCAGGAGGGATTTACACTCCTGTCACCATATATAAAAAAATGTGTTTGAGTGAGAACAGCAGAGCAGAGAGATGACTGCGTGTGCGAGATGTGAGTTAGCTCAAGGAATGAATCCCTTCTACTACATATGCTATATACTTAAATTTAAAATCCTTTATTATCTTAAGGATCCTTTAAGATCCGAGGAGTGGTGAACCAGATGGCTCACATCCCCGCCACGGCGGCCCGAGGACAGACGCATCTCATCAGCATGTCTGCAGGGAACTTTGGGAAGGCGTTTGCCTACATGGTGCAGCAGCAGGGTCTGAAGGGGACAGTGTTCATGCCTGATACTGCACCAGCAAACAGGGCTGAGCTCATCAAGGTAGGGAACTGTATTGTATCTGTATAGCCGGTATAACCGCCCTTCGGTGTAACACACATATATAGACAGGATGGCTGTGTATATTTGTGTTCGGTAGAGCGACGGTTTGGATGTTGAGCGGTAGCCTGGTTTCTATCCTCCTTAGTTTACCACTGGCTCCCTTGTCACTGGCTACGTAGGTGGTAAACTATGGAAACCAGGCAACCAGGCTAGTTTAGATCATAGCTGTGTATATTTTTGTTCTGTAGAGTTTAATGAGTTGGATGTGGAGAGGATGCCTGATAGTGTATTTCTGTGTTCTGTATAGAGTTTTGGGTTGGATATGGAGAGGATGGCTGTGTATTTCTGTGTTTTGCAGAGCTATGGCTTAGATGTAGAGAGGATGCCCACCTCTGAGCTGCAGCCAGCTGTAGACAGGTGTGTGAGGGAGAGACAGATGCACTACCTGCACCCGTTTGATGATATCAACCTCATGGCAGGACATGGCAGGTGAGTAGGTGTTAACACAATCTGTCACTGTTAAGACTTTTTAGATCTGTGAGAACTCTTTTATTTGGGTCTATTTCAATGGTATTCACTATTATCTTATGCATGTATATTGATTGTATATCAAATTCAGTCTTGACAGCAAAGTTGTATGGAGGAAGCTGTACATGTATGGAAGAACTTTTTAATTTGTAAGTCAATACAGAAGCTAGTAGACTGTAGCTGGCCTTTGTGTGATGTTTTGTTTCTTGTGTGCAACAGTATATACATGACAAGAGACTAGAATTATACATTGTATACATCAAAATCACTGTCCATACACCTGTACCAACAATCGAATCCATGCCAGGTCATGAGGGACAACTGTCTTGCACAGGGTTGCACAAGAACTGCATAGATACACTACACCTCTATTAACAAATATTCCTTGTGCACCTCCCAGTGTGGGACTTGAGATTCTGGAGGACGTTCCCTACCCTGACGTGGTGGTGGTGTGCTGCGGAGGGGGAGGTTTGCTAGGTGGAACGGCCGCAGCGATCAAGCTGTCTGGACGGAACAACACGAGAGTGTACGGGGTGGAACCAGAGGGGGGTGAGCAGTGTTTGGAAGAGTTGTCTTGTAGAGTAGGACATTGAATTGATTATCTGTACCATAAATTCTTGTATGAATGTTGACCTAAAGATTATATAGATACAGCCTTCAGGGAATATTGACCATGGTAAAATCCTAATTGATATCAGCTCTACAGCTTTGGTTATGGCTGAACAGTCCTATACAAGAATTACAGCTGACTAAGCTGACAAAGGCTGTACGCAAAGTTCTTTTCTCTAGATCTGCTTCTCTTTCTGTGCAATGCATCAGTCTAGCTTCCCCTGATTTCAGCTGCCAGGACAGTGTGAACCTCCTAGCCTGGTTGCCAGACCTATTATAGCTCCCGAGTCCTATATCCTCTCTGCTACATAGGACTCAGGAGCTAAAATAGATCTGATAACCAGGCTATGGACCTCCAGCTGGGTTAGTCATTGGTAAGGTCCTCCCAGTGCTCTTTGACTATACATTGTAGTGTAATTGTAGTAAAATGATGTATATCCTATTTAATTTGTCCCATGTGAATCGTTAGCTGAGTCTTGTAGTGCAATGACTCTTCATAGTTGTGTCTTGACTGTGACTGTTGTTGTGCTGCAGCGCCCTCTATGTTTGAAAGCAGAAAGGCAGGGAAACCTGTGGGAGTCCAGGTGAAGACTGTAGCAGCAGGACTGGCTCCTCCATATGCAGGTAACTAAACTTCAGCCTACTGCCTAACCAGCCTGAAATTCTTTTCCATCACTTCAATTTCATTTGATGCGTGACAATCTTTGAACCCTCTGAAATGCTATTCCCTGCCTTCTAAAGCGGCAAGTTTTGCTGGTAGCCTAAGCTTAGTTTAATGATATCTCTTTCCATACCTTTACACACAAATTTTTGTCAGCCACGAGCAAAATTCCATCAATTAGGGGAAAGACAGACACTAGCTAGAACACTGTGCCTAATCCAAAATCAATAGAGAATTGGTAGCCAGACAGTTACTCCAGCATGGTAAAGGTTATAAGCCATGATCTGGACTTGGATTTCTTTGTCGACATTATGTCAGGAATGCCAGGGATTGAACCTGAGACCTTTCAGGCTCATGTCCTCTCACCTAACCACATCATACGCATAATACAATTCTTCATTATATAATGAATAAAACCTAACATATTTCTCCATGCAGGTCCGAATGCCTACAAACATAACGTGGCATTTGTAGAGGATGTGGTCCTGGTCAGCGATGATGAGATTGTGGCGGCGGTGCGGCGGTTGTTTTCTCGTGGACTCGTGGTAGAGCCATCGGGCGCAGCGGCCTTCGCGGCTCTGATGTCTGGGAAAATTCCGGACATGAAGGGGAGGAAGGTTGTTGTTGTGATAACCGGAGGGAACGTCACGACTCAAGAACTGAACAACATCTGTGGATAACACTTGTTTCGGAAGTTCAGTCAAAACTGCTCAAAAACACTTAGTTATGTTTACCGAAGAAAAAACATATTCTTTTTGCTCTGTTTCTTCTTCCTCTTCTCTAAACAGTAACCTCAATGACCTGAGGCTGAACCAATGTTGTGTCTGTCACCATGGTAACAAGTGTTGGGTTACATCATGTTGCAATTTTATAGCAGGAGCGATTTAGACTCCTGTCTGTCATATATATGAATGTGTAAGAATTAACAGAGCAGATCATATGTGAAGGTAAACATTATGCATTTACCTTGCAAATGTTACCTCTCTAGTTGATCATTGTTCTCCTCAGCATTTATATAGAGGAGATGTAAAATTTGTGTAACACACAAATCTCAGGGATAAGTATATATAAAATTCTGTGATTGGTCCTAATATGTGTGAAACTGTATCAGCGAAAATGTCCGTCAAAGACTATCATCATCTTGTAAGGTAGAATTTGAGTGATCAGGAAGACCAGATGACCCACTTAAAAGAACATGCAATTCTCAGTGTTCTGAACTCATGTTGTTCTTAATGTTATCCCCCAGGATTGATCCAATTACAAATTGCTGTGAGCTATGAATTTGTAATGAAGATTACCAATTGGTATTTATAATATATCATTAATCTTTTACAATGATTTTCATAAGCATGAACTATGTAGAACTTAATACTAGTAAATTTAATATCAGAAAGTCGTCCCTGTCCTTGGTGCTGATTTTGCTATCATTGTTGTCTATGTGCCTGGTGTGAATTCTTGGTCCATTCCAAACAGATCAAAATTTCCTGCACATTACATCAATGCGCATTCTTCATAAATTTTCTCTGCTCCATGTATGTTGTTTTTGTCGTTTAAATTGCAGTTCTGTGCAACTAATGTCAGACCTATTTCTGACTATAAGTACAAGGCACAACTGAAGATAAGGAACAAGAAACCATCAGAACTTTGTTTATTGCCTTTATTTCTTTTTCCACTGCTACGCCTTTCTTCAGGTACCGTCTAGATTCAATGTGTCGTTTTTCTACACGTCAGGTGCGTTCCAGGCTTAATTTCTAACTTCAGATATGAAGGTAAAAAGTCGGCTTGAGTGTTTCTATTTGCAGTTATTGTTGTTTGTCCTCGTAAATGTACATTTGTGCAGTATGAAACATTTTTGTCGTACTTCCAAGAATCAAGCAAGATTACACCTCACAAATTATTTGGAATGATAGAACAATTTTCTTCCTCATACATGATAAAGTCAAATCATACCAGCAAACCCAAAATTTGAAAATGTATATTACACTGTTTTCATCATATCGCTCTACAACAATGTTCTATTGTCTTCACAAAGCGACTCTGTTGTTAACACATTTCAGAACGACGTTCCTCTATCAGAAAACGATACAAACACATCATATTGCAGTTTTTGATACAAATGTTCCTCCTTTTTCAACAGGCATAGATAAGTCATCGACCTCTTATAACCGGAAGAAGTTCGTATTTACAGATATTGTTCATTGGATAGACCTAAATAGGTAGATACGTAAACGTGTTTTCAGTACAGAAGGGCGCTGTTGAGTTCTTATGAGTGAAAAACACGTCCTTTTCAAAATGACTGGTTTGAAAAATGAGGATAGTTCCAGTTCTGTAGAATTCCTCAAGCTGGTATGTTACACCAAAGAGTGGTTATAATGGCTATACAGATACAGAAGCTGGTGTGTTCCGCCGAAGGGCGATTATAACGGCTATACAGATACAGATACAGAAGCCGGTGTGTTACTCAGAAGGGCAGTTACACATGTACCGGTACCAGCCATACAGATACAGAGGCTGGCGTGTTACGCCGAAGGGAATTTATACCAGCTACACAGCTGTACAGTTTTCATTGTGTGTTCCTGGTCTTACATGTGTTGGTCACCACCACATAGTTGTATAAAGGACTGATTGCTCCATCGTGCATGAACATGCATATCTCAGAGTTTTGTCTATAAAACCAGCCCGAGCGGTCGCCATAGCAGATAGGAGGTATTACGTTACGATTACAGATTGTTATTCAAACTTCCATGGTTTATCCTACGTTTTCAAAGACAGGGCACAACATGGTCATTATAAGGTGTTCGTCAGACGAGACATATTCTCACAGTTAAGTTTCATAAGTTACACCACCGATATTGCAGCTATTGCGAGTCCTACGACATGTATAATACAACAGGTACAATCTGAAGGGACGCAGGTTTCCACAGTCATAGATACGCCTTCACTTTACATCAACAAAGTCCCATTGTTTTCTGTCTTTGTACAGATGACAGTTACAGTCCATTGGACTAGCCGTTCAGTATATCCACAGACTTTCAACCTGTATATACAATTTTGTACATGTACTTAATCACGAATAAAAGTACCGGTAGATTCCATCTGTCCTGGTTTAAAAGATATAGTTGATAAGAAGAAGTTTTGACCCGTCTTCAAACTTCCCTTCAATACCAGAAATATCCTTCTCCCAACATGTAAGATATGTACATTCTGTTTTCGCCTTACAAGTGACATACATAAGTACTTCGTCCTTTTGGTTATGCTTCTGTACTTTTTACCACAACGTCCTTATTAAGTACAAGAATGTTCGATTCACCATAAAGTTTTCTTTATACACAAAACTTCCATTTAGTAAAAAGATTTAAATAAAAGTTTATTGACATAACGGACAACTTGTGGTTTGAGGATCAAAATTGGACGAACATGACAACTGCACAATTTGGTACAGGGCAGTGCTCGTTTAGTCAAATGCAATTTGATCTTACTGAATTATTGAAGATTATATGAACATTATCTGTATGATTATCTGCTTGCTTGAAGGAATGATTTATGTAAGACATTGTGTCTCATAGTCCCAACGAGTCACCTGAAGTAAATGCTCCATCTTTTGGCAAGCAGTAGAATTGCAGCTTTGACTGGTTTTGGAATTTTCGAAAAGATTTCAAGACGGCAAAGTCACCATACCGCGTCTATGTTAAAGCAAAGAAATCCCGGAAACGCTAGTTGCCACAGAAGTCAGCTGCATCGGCCCATTAAGACTCTATATGGCACAAAATGAGTCGAGCGAAGTGAATATCCTCTAGCTTTCATAACAGACAGCGACAGTCAAGTAGAAGTCTCTAGCACGGGCGCTGCATAGCGGTTCAAATTTATGCAGACAAACGTAGCAGGCCAAGGCGTCTGCAGTCCGGGCCTAGCCTGTGTTACACAAGCTCAAGCTCGGCCGGAGGTTGATGACACCCACCCCAAGGCGGCAACTTTCGGGCGCGGTTTAGTCTAGCCTGATTAAATCGCTTTACGGTTGCCGGCCGCCCAACATCCCTCTGCGGGGAGGGGCCACTAAAGCCGCGGACGGCATGCAGAGTTTGCGTTGCACAGACTAGGTTTAGTCAGGCTATACGTCCGGGCCACACTATCTGGACGCGCCGGTGACCGTCTGCAGTTCCGTGTCCAGCTTGTCCGGATCGTCCTTGCTGCTCCTCCGCCCTGGACAGCACAGCACCTCCACGCAGCGACAGCAACAGCAGAAGCAGTAACAGCACGGACAGCAGTCGTTCAGCGCCTTTCTCCACGCCTCGCTCATGGTGAACAGCACCAGAGGGTTCACGCACGACTGGAAGTTGGATAGGTAGAACCCGGCGTAGTCCAGGATCACCATGTAAGTCCTGTACTTCTGCAGCACGCCCTTGTCCACCACTCTCCACAGGATGGTGCTGACGTGGTAGGGCAGCCAGCAGAAGGCGAACGCCAGCACCAGGAATAGCACGATCCTGGCCGTCTGGTGACTCTGCTTCAGGTGAAGCTTGTGCGAGTCCTTGGCGTCCTTGTTGGCCCTGGCGGCCGCGGCCAGACGTCGCGAACTGAGGCAGAAGCAGACCAGGCCGAACAGGACGGGCAGACAGAAGTAGCAGCCGAGTAGCCACCAGGTCTTGATGTCGTAGTAGGTGGCGGAGACCTGCAACATCACCTGTGGAACGATAGAGTTATATCTGAAAATAGTTTCATCAGGTTGGTAAGACACTAAGTAGTAAAGACTCTTTTTACACAACCAAGTCTTTTATTCAGCCGACGTTTTAGTGACCGTCTGTCACCTTCCTCAGGGCAATTCTGACTGGTTCACATTGCACTGCAGAACAGGTGTCGCTGCTACAGAAACATTCCCAAATGTACAATATGTACAGTCAAAATTGCCCTGAGGAAGGTGACAGACGGTCACCGAAACGTCGGATGAATAAAAGACTTGGTTGTGCAAAAATAGTCTATTTACTCGGTCGAGTTACAGAAACAAAGTGTTATACAGGCTTGGCGTGGTCATCCCGTAGCCTGGGTGCCATCATCCGTAGTTTCCACCCGCTCTCTAGGGAGCCAGTGACATTAGGGAGCGGGCGGAAACTACGGAGGATGGCACCCAGGCTAGTCATGCCGCATAGTTAACATTGCAACCAGACATCACTGACTTCACTCCTCAGAGGGTCGCGCCATCTGGCGATACATGCAAACACTACAGAAACACACGCAAATACACAGATCAGAGGTACACAATCTACTGAGCCTCAAAGGCAAGGCAAAACAATACTCCACCTCCTAGTTGAGAAGAAATGATATTTGGAAAGAATGTCAACTACGGCAGATACAAAAGATGCACTACAGAAACACACGGACAAATACAGTACAAAGACCTGACGTACAAAATCTACTGAGCCTCGAGGACAAGGCAACACAGTACTTCATCCTCCTACAAGTGAAATAATGATATTGGCCTAGAATGTTAGTATCACCTACGTATATGTTACATGTAAAATATGCACCTCAAGCACACAGCAGACAAGATAAAGAAGTACAAAATCTACTGAGCCTCAAGAACAATGCAAAAACATTATTTCACTCGCTAGGTGAAGTAATGATATAGGGAAAGAACTTTAGGTTCTCAGCCACGCCACCTATCGACTGTAACGAACATATCAGGAAAAAGAACTGAGGCTGTGTTGTCTGACCCAGCTGACCTTGGGAATGCCCTTGGTGACGTTGCGCGGACAGACGGCGTCCACGGCGTTGGCGGTGCGGAACAGAGTCTGGTACCATCGCACGGTGGGAGGGAAGGCGTCGGGAACGGCCAGGATCAGGGCTCCCAACCACACCACGAACACCTGCCGACAACAATGACAATGTCTTGTATATAT